GAGAGAGAGAGGGAGGGAGGGAGGGAGGGAGGGAGAGAGAGAGAGAGAGAGAGAGAGAGAGAGAGAGAGAGAGATAGATTGATTAATTTAATTCAAATTCTGATCAGGCCCTTCATTACCCAAACTAGGTAACATCATCAGAACACTGATAATGTTAGCTAGTTTGGGTAATAAAGGACTTGGAAGAAAACAGCCAAGCTCAGAGAACACCAAATAGCTGAAGAAACTTCTTGGATGAGAAGCAAAATGTCTTCAAAGAAAAACAAGAAAGTCTAGTTTCCTCTTGAAAAAGAAACTCTTTTGGGAGAACCATGACTTGGATGACTGAGAATCTACATAGATATCTACAAGAAAACAAGAGTTCAGAGAGCACCATTTCAATCCTCAGCTATAAGTATTCTCATTTACCGATAAGCTTCTAGTTCTTCATTATTTTAGGAAAGTGCCCTAATTTTCACTAATAGTATATGCACACTCCTTTAACAAAAGTGTTAAGTGCTGGAGAAGACTCCCGCGAGTCCCTTGGACTGCAAGGCGATCAAACCGGTCAGTCCTAGAGGAGATCAACCCTGACTGCTCTTTAGAAGGCCAGATCCTGAAGAGGAAACTCAAGTACTTTGGTCACCTAATGAGGAGGAAGGATGCTCTAGAGAAGAGCCTCATGCTGGGAATGATTGAGGGCAAAAGAAGAAGGGGACGACACAGAATGAAGGTGGCTGGATGGAGTCACCGAAGCAGTAGGTGTGAGCTTAAATGGACTCCAGAGGATGGTAGAGGACAGGAAGGCCTGGAGCAACATTGTCCATGGGGTCTCGATGGGTCAGACACAACTTCGCAACTAACAACAAATATTTACACTCCTAGTAACTAGAGGTTTTGTCTTCCAAGCTTTTGGACTAGTGCTGGTGCCCATCTTCAAGAAATCTCTCACTATCAGAGCATGTGCTTGCTATTCTGAGTGCTTTTTAGATGCTGATTGGGTTGTGTTGATGGCTGGCTTTTAAGTCATTGGCTGTCTTGTTTGTTTGTGCTACTCAGTCCTTGCCTTCTAAGTACCTGAAAAGCTGGGATAAAATGGATAATGGAGCAATGTCCTCACTCATTATCTTCATCAGTCAAATTTATTTTACCTAATTAAGTTTGCATTGGAAGAAAAAAATCCTGCTTGAAATGTGAGTTATAGTTTATAGTTTATTAAACTTGTATGTGAGACTGCAAGTTTAATGTCTGTTTTAGCAGACTTTATATAATTTTATTACAACTGTTACTACCTTTTGACCATAAGATAGCAGCCTTTGAAAGCATCGAGTTGGCTAGCCATGACACCCAAACTAAAGAGTTAATGTGCATCTGAAAAAAAAAGTCCAAATCACACTGATGATTTTAGGAGTGCATCTAGATCATTTTCCTGGTAGTCATATAAATGACATTGCCTTCTTCTTCTAAGATGGTGGGATTAAAAAAAACATAACTCACTTGAATCTATAGTTTTTGTAGTGCCCCATGAAAGCACCAACTGAGTTTGACCCTGTTCAGCTTCACAGTGTCTGACCTGGAAGCCATCTTCTACATTTGGGCCTTCAGGCCTCCCACATTTTCTACTTGTGGGAAACTGGGAGGGGGGATTATATGGAGTACAGGAGATATATAGTCTAAATAATATTCCTTTCTCAGAGAGTCAAGAACTTCTTGCCCTGTACCTGGAGTGGTGTGACTGGGAGACATCTCCAGTTTTGGATGCTGCCTGACTGGACCATGTGATGGACATGTGGGTGCTGGGCAGGGACTTGGATTTTCATTTGGGTGGGGAAAACCTGGAAGCTTTCAGATTCGGGTTTTCCCAGATGTGCCAATATGACATCTTTAATAAAATGGAACTGACGAAACTCAAGCCAGTCTTCTTTCGTTGGAGGTGTTACTTGGAGCCTTGGCACACCGACTCTTCCCCCATGGTTCCCTAGAGGTTTCCACCTACTGAGAATAATACCTATCTATAAAGCTGCATGTTTTATGATTTAGACCCATTAAATGAACCAACCCAACATCAATGAACTGGTGCAGTAAGATCCGTGGGAGAAGGATCCCATCAATGGTTTCTTCTCCCAACCAATTAATGGGTTCACAGCCCATCAATGGATCTGGCTCACGATGATCTGATCTGAAATGGTTCCACCACAAAACCGCGGATGACAAAATCGCGGTCGACAAAAGCGCGTATGTGATGTTATCACAGCGCGACGAAAAAGATTGAAAAATGTAAAAATAAAGCTAAAACCTTCCCCTA